ACAGTTTTTAATTAATATTTATTTAATATGTTTCAATTTTGTTTTTTACCTTTAATAACATTAAGTGATTATTACATTTTTATTTTATTAAAAAAAATCCTACTAAAATTCCGCGAAGCCGGGGAAGCGGAACTACCTCTTCTTTTCTTATTCCACTTTCTCTAATTCCACACATTCAACCCCCTTTCCCTTCGGACTGGCTCTTCTATCCTCACTTTCAATGGCCCTTTCCTCCTGTACTCTTCTCTTTTACGAGTTTCTCCGTTCTGTCCTTCCCTTATTTTCTTCTTCTCCTTGCTTTCTCTCGTATTTTTTCAGATCTACAAATTGGGGATTCAATGAGAGAATCAGACCAGCTTTTATTAATGCACAAAAATGAAAACTCACAGATTTTATCTTATAGCCTTTCCGTTAATCTCCCAAGTTGTCCTCTTCTTTCTCTGTAGTTTTGTTTTATCATCTATTTCTCAAAAACTTAAAAAAATATTAAGAAGAAAGAATTAGAAAGGACAGGGCAGTCTTTGTTGCATTGCCGAATTGTTCAATATCTTCCGATAAATCCCATCATGTTTGTGCGCAAGTGGAAGGCGAATGTCAAGATTCTGAGTAGACAAGTTGGAGACCTGGAGGAGGAGAAACAGTGCGTGCAGCGCTACATTGATGATCCTAACAAAAGCAGTGCACGATCTGTAAGTCCAAAGCTGGAGTGGGCTGAAAATGCAAAAAAATTCATTGACAAGGCAAACGAATTAGTAAAGATAGAAAGTGGAAATGCAGATGATGATAATGGAGGACATGGGACGAAGCAGAACTGTGCGTTTGGGCTGTGTCTTGGTCCCAAGTCTCCTTACATACTTAGCAAGAGGGCAAAGCGGCGCTGCAAGGATGTTGCTAAACTTGTGCAAGAAGCTCGTGGATTCGAGGAAATCACCCCTCCCTATCGACAAGAGAAAGAGGCAGTTAGTGTTTTCGAGCACTTGGACTCGAGAAAGGATGTTGTGAGAAACATCTTGGAAGCATTGAAAAGTCCTAGCACCAACGTGATAGGAGTGGACGGAAAGCAGGGTGCGGGGAAAACACTGCTCTCTGGAGAAATTAAAGCAAAAGCCGAGGGACAGAAGCTCTTTGATGCGGTTGTTATGCCAACTCTGAGTAGGAATGCAGCAGACTTGCCAAGAATCCAAGGCGAAATTCAACGTGCCTTGGGTCCGGATCGTGTTTCAGTTTCTAATAAACTTACAACACATCAGGAGGCTGAGGCTTTCAATCCAAGGAAGGCAAGAAGAACAGAAAAGGAGGTCCTCGTGATTTTGGACAATATCTGGGGGGCAGAAATATATTACAAGTTGCGTGATAGACTTCCTTTGGTAGAAGAGAACGAGGGGAGCTTATTATCTTACAAAATTTTGTTGACCTCTACAGATGAAGCTGTTCTATCTGATCTATCTGAAAAACAATTTGAAATTAAGCTATTACAAGAAAAGGAGCCAGAGCAGCTGTTTAAAAGAATAGTTGGCAATCCCACTGAAAGCCTTCGTTTGCAAATTATGATTGCTCAGAATTGTGGGGAGTTACCCCTTGCTGTTGCAACAGTTGCGAATGCCTTTAAAAATAGCAATCAGATCAGTTGGAAGACTGTCATACGAGAGCTTAAACGCTCCAAGACAGAACATAAGCTACAGTTAGCTCTCGAGATAAGTTATAGTTGTTTGAACAAGCAACTCCAGCAAACTTTCTTGCTTTGTACGCTAATGGATGATAATGCAGCCATTCAAGACTTGTTAAAGTATGGTGTAGGCTTGGGCTTATTTCCAAGAGTCAACTCTATAGAGGAAGCACGAGGTGAAGTGCTGAATTCGGTGGCTAAACTCAGAGATTCTTTGTTGTTGCTGGATAGTGGTAGCAATCTGCACTTTAACATGCCTGATCTCCGGGATATTGCCAAGTTATTTGCTTCAACAGAAGTTGGACTGGAGAATTGGTTGGAGGAGAGCCGGAAGGCGGAGAGCCGGGAGGCGGAGGAGAGCCTGGAGGTAGAGGAGAGACGGAAGGCAATAGAAAGCATCAAATGGATTTTTTTATCAAATGATGATGCTCATCGGCTTCCAGATGAGTTGAACTGTCCGCAGCTCACTTTATTTCATTTGTCTGAACAGGATCCTTCTTCACCAATTCCACCAGACTTGTTTAGAGGAACTGGAGAACTCAGAGTCCTCGGCTTGACTAAAACTTGGTCAATGCCTCAGTCAATTTCCCTTCTAAATAACCTTCAGACCCTGCGTCTGGATCGAAGTGTGTTAAAAGTTGAGGACACGGGCGCAGTTATAGGAAAGCTGAAGAATTTGCAAGTCCTCAGCCTTGTGGGATGTGATATCGAAGAGCTGCCAGAGCAAATTGGGCAACTAGCTGAGCTGAAGTTGTTAGATTTGAGTGACTGTAACAATCTCAAAGTAGTTCCATCAGGTGTCTTGTCAAGTTTGTCCAAATTAGAAGAACTATATATGAGAAACGGCTTCGATCAATGGGAGATCGAGGATGTTAAGGAGCAGGAAAATAAAAATGCTAGCCTTTCTGAGTTGAAGCATTTGAATCTAACTGCTATAGAGGTGCGAATTAATATTCGCAATATCCAGATGATTAAAGAAGACCTGTTCCCTGAAACTTTGGCAAGATACATGATTCTTGTAGGAGATATGTGGCACTCCTGGGACAGTTCTTTTGGAAGTTCAAAAATGTTGAAGCTCATGCTAGATGCAAGAATTAGTTCCGAGCATTCAGTTAACAAGTTGCTAAAGAAGACAGAGGAACTACATCTACAGGGGTTGAGTGGTGTCAATAATGTTGTTAATGAGTTAGATGAGGAAGGTTTTCAAGAATTGAAGTATCTCTTTATCCAAGATGCTCAGAATATTGATCTAGTTAGCAGTAACTCCATGAAGCCAGCATTTCCGAAATTGGAGGTTTTAGTTCTCCGGAATTTGGACAAAATGGAGAAGATATGCAATGGTTCGGTTAGAAGATCATCTTTTAGCAATTTAAGAATGATAACGGTTGAATTTTGTAATCTACTAAAGAATTTGTTCTCCTCCTCAATAGCCAAACGAAATCTTCTCCAACTCCAAGAAATTAGAGTGATGAAGTGCAGCAAAATGCAATGGATTTTTGGTGACGAAAATGATACTCTTGAAGCAACAAAACTGAAGGAACTGCGATCCTTGCAATTAGAAGATCTACCGGAGCTGATTGGCTTCAGCAGTAGTTGCAAGAGAATGAAACTTTCCAAAGAACAGGTGTTTGATTAATATCTTTTATTTCATTTTTGTTCTCATCCACGCCATCTGCTTTGCATTACTTGTTTGTATTCGAGTTAGACATACCTAATTTCGACAAATATAACATGACCATCTGTTTTCTTTTTCAATCAACAAAATGGAAAGCATTTATTAGGAAAATGTAATTGTATGTTATGCAGGTTGGATCTTCCCGTGCTGGTAAGCGGATTGCATCTTTCAGTGGTGATAAACTGAAGAAATTGATCATCAAAGGATGTGATACTTTAGAATGCATATCCTCATCTTCTATGGCTGGAGGTCTAAGTATGCTGGAACACCTTGAAATAAGGAAATGCAGCGGTATGGAAAAGGTCATTTTTGCCGATAATAATGAAGAAGGAAAGAAGTCGATATTCCCTCGGTTGAACATTTTGCAGATAGAGGACCTTGATAACCTCGTCAATTTCTACTCAGAAAATTGCATTGTTGAATTCGAAGCATTGAAGAAACTACATGTGCTGAACTGCCCAAAATTGGAGGTATTCATTGCAAACACAGAGTCACTCTTTAATGAACAGGTAAGTTTTCCTCATTTACCTGCATTGTGGCTTTAACTCTAGAAACTATATACTCCTCCTTATCCTTTCACAGATTGGCGGGATTGCATTTTTCCTTGAAATTTTGACCAATTTCTTAAATCTATTTAATTAATCAAAATGAAAAAAAAAAAAAAATGCTTGTAGTAAATTGCATTCTAACCTTCTTTAAAAAGGAGGCTGAAGATGAAAAAGAAACAGTAATCTAAAATAGGGGAGGGGTGTTCATGTCCAATCCAAACCAATTGATTTGATTAAGAGAGAACCAAATTAATTGAGGATTGGTTTTGAGACTGTCTTCAATTTCCCAGGTTGAGGTTGTTGAGACTGTCTTCAATTAACATTCAACAAATCTGGGATCTTTGGACTCCAAAATTCATGCTTACATTGTTGTTAGTTTAACCAAAGCATAAAAGATTTTTATGAAAGGAGATTATACTGGGATGAGTTTTCCAACTTAAAACAGTTTAAAGTTGTCTTCAATTGGCATTCATCAAAACTAATAGAAACAAGCTTTCCATAATGTCTTTTTGTCTTTCAGAACTAAGAATCTATTTGCAGGTTGAGTTTCCCAGCTTGGAGTTTTTGAGGCTATCTTCACTTAACAGTAAGCAAATCTGGCACATTTCAAGTGAAAAAACGGTTTCTGTTAAAAACTTAAAAAAGTTGGTTGTGGAGGGTTGTGGTAACTTGGAGTATCTATTGAGATCCTCCATGGTTGAGAGTTTTGAACAACTCATGGTGCTCAAGATTTCTGACTGTAAGATGATGGAAGAGGTAATAAAGGAGGAAGGAGGGATGTGCGAGATTTTCTTTCGTGAGCTGGACACCCTAGAACTTGAAGACCTTCCCAAACTCACAAGATTCAAGTGCCCTCCTGCTGCCAGTGTTGACAAGGTAATTTTTTCTTTGTTTTTCCCTTTATTTTTCAGTTAGTTACTCCTCATAGATTTTGTACTTTCATATTAGATTCTAAAATTTTTTATTCTAACTAAGAATCTCTTTGAAGGATGAATTTCCCAAGTTGAAGTTCTTGAGACTCTCTTCAATTAACATTCAACAAATCTGTGATCTTTGGACTCCAAAATTCCCCCCTTCTACACAGATTCCTATACAGAATTTAAAAAAGTTGTTTGTGGAGGGTTGTGGCAAAATGAAATATCTATTAACTTCCTCTATGGTTGTGAGTTTAAATCAACTCATATTGCTCAAGATTTGTGATTGTGAAATGATGGAATCAGTAATAGTTTCAGAAGAATCAGTGGAAGAAAGAATTTCCCCCCTTGAACTGCACACCCAAACCCTAGAACTTGTAAAGCTTCCCAAACTCACAAGATTCTATCATGCAGAAAATAATGACACACCATATCTCTTTGATGAAAAGGTGATTTCTTCTTTTTCTTTTTTCCCTCTCGTTTTCAATTGGTTTAACCTCATAAAAATTTTATAGTTGTTCTAAATTTTATTTTTGTTCTAAAATTTTATTATTGCAACTAAAAATCTCTTTGCAGGTCAGGTTTCCCAAGTTGAAGTTTTTAAGCTTGTCTTCAATTGACATTCAGCAAATCTGGCAAATTTCAATTCCAACAAACTCTTTAGAAAAGCTTTTTGTGGAGGATTGTGGCAATTTGAAATATCTGTTGATGTCTTCTATGGTCAATAGTTTTAAACAACTTAAGGTGCTTAAGATTTGTGACTGTAAGATGATGGAACAGGTAATCGTCTTAGAAAGATCAGAGGAAAATGAGTGTAAGAGTTTCTTCTCTAAACTGGACACCCTAGAACTTGAAGACCTTCCCAAACTTGCAAGATTATGTCATGGGAATTACCTTAAATTTGAATTCTCCAACCTTAGACAGTTCACCATTAGCAAGTGTGCTGTGTTGAAGAAGCTTATAGGAGACATTGCTGTCAGTGATGAAAATGCAAAAAATACTTATACATTGTCTCTCTTTGATGAAAAGGTGACATCTTCTTTGTTTTTTCTCCTTTTTGTACAATTAGTTTCACATCATAAAGTTATTAAAATTTTAAATTAGACTAAAAATTTATTATTTTATCATCTTTTTTATGTGTTGCCTTTCTCTGATTATGGTTACTAATGCAAATGGATAGAAATTTCAGGTGGAATCCCCTAGATTAGAGCGGCTGATAATCAAGTTTATGGGGAGTTACAACAAGATATGGGATGACAAAAATGATGCAAATTCTTGTTGCAAACTAAATTCTCTTACTGTGGCTTCATGTGAAAAGCTGTTGAATATTTTTCCATATAGTATGCAAAAAGAAGTACTACAAAAGCTAGAGACACTGGAGATATGGAATTGTGATTCACTAGAAGAGATATTTGCTGAGAGCCAACAAGAAGCTCAGGAAACCACTACTAATTCGGTGAAAATTGCCCGAGAGGTTCTATTTCCAAAATTGACACATTTAAATCTTTTTAAGCTACCCAAACTGAAAGGCTTCTTCTCTCAAATGCATATCAATGAATGGCCATCGTTGAAACAATTATGGGTGTACGGATGTGATGAAGTTCATATATTTGCTTCAGAACTCCCAAGTTTTCTAGGAATAAATGGAGATGACAGACTTCAGATTCAGTGGATAAGCAAGGTAAAAGCTCTAATATTCCAAAAGAGTGCTAATGTGTTGATTGCACTTACTTTCTAGTAAAGCTTTTCATTCGTGAACATAGTCAAATTAAGGTACTACTTTGGAAAATATATTCTCCGTCTGGACCGGTAGTTTTTTCCAGCCAATTCAGGCATCAAATTACTACTTTACCCTCTTCTTTTTCTTTTTGCCAATATGTAATTTCTACATCTTCTCTAATACTTTTTTCAATTTTTATATTCCAGTTGGTTGATTTAGAAAATCAATTTTTTTTTAAAAATTTTATGCAGAATATTTTTTCTAAATAGTTGCTTTATTAGCTTGAAGTAAATTATCTATCTGATTGTATAACAATTTAAGATTCTCTTTTTTTATCTTGTGGGGCACCATAATAGTTGTATGTTTTTATTGGAAATTACATTTTAGAATCCCAAGATTCTAAAATATGTATATACCATAGTTGTTGTTTGAGGTAAGTGTAAATTAGACGAGATTTCACAGTGTGCACAAAAACATTTGAGATTAGTGTTAATTGTACATCAGCACTTAAGGCTACATGAAATATCCTAAATACTCTCATCTCTCTTTTATTTTCATTCTTTTGAAGTTAGAAGCCTTTAAGATATTTCAAGAAATTTTAAGTGATTATTTACATCTCTGTTTATTTACAAGTTTTGAAATCTTAATTTTTTATCTACACATACACAAAACTACAGATATGTTATTGTCATCAGCACATTTTACAATCTTAAATCTTTATGTGTGCCTTTTCCAATCACAAGCAACTAAATTGCATTTCCCCTTGTTTTTAATCCATGAACTAACAATATTCAAAAATCTGCATATGTTTTCATTTTTCTAATTTTAAATTGAAAAGTACTCGTTTATTAAAGGAAAAGTTATAAGAGGTATCAACCTACCAGATTAATGTTCTAAAATGCCCTGGTTGACAAACCGAGTACGGGTTGACATAATTATTCATCTTTTTAAATTAACATTCTTTTGAACAAATTTTGGAAGGATTCTACATCCTTTACTGAATCTGTAGCTGTGGATTTCTACTGGCTGATTGCAGATTTATTTGCTTATACATAATTTACAAAACTCAATGCATGTTTTTGCCTTGGTATTCTATGTTTCTTTTTCACTAGTTGAGTCTTTAATCATAGATATCACCTCTATCCAACAGAACATTTTGCTATACCAAAGGAGTGGGAAGATATGTTACATGCTACCGGCAGGAAGCCTCAATATTGGTCATGCTGATAATCCTAGTTATTGGAGGTGGATCGATGGCGGTCCTGAATATTGGAAGAGGATCTCCACACCCAATTCCAGGTCTCTCTCTTGATCTGTCACAACCTCACACAGACACACAGACAAAGACACGCATGCACAAACTCATTACTCATACACACTTACAACCAAAAGAATTCAAGCTAACAGACACTTGCATTGCACAGGTTTTTCTTTAATTTTTTATATTAGATTTAATTTTTTTATTATTTTTATTAACTTTTGAGTTTTATAATGATTTTTAATTAAAAAATTCTAATTAAGTAAATAAAGTTGAGTTAAAGATTGTGTTTAGTAATTAATAAGAGTATTTTTTAAAAATATTGTATATAATTACATTGAAAAAAAGGAATATTAAGAGATTTCAAAAAACACTTAATATTAATCTTTATCTCATAATTTAAATCTGTTTTTTTTTTTCTACTATTATTCTATTTAAATATTTAGACAATATTCTCTCTTATCTCAATTAAAAAACTATAATACACTTAAATGGAATCAAATATTTGTGTGTTGCATGTGCATTACATGGGATCATTTTAGTGTTCCTTTCTCAACATTATACTAAAAATAATATACCTTTTCAAAATATAACTTAAACTAAGTAATTTAAACATATATATTCTACAACCAAATTTTTAATTAAAAAAATCTTTTGAAGAGATTATTTGAATTTTATTGTTAAGAATTGAAAAAGCTTTAAGATTTTGTTATCAAGAATTGAAAATATCCTAAACACATTTACAATATTTTGTTTGTTTTTTTTTTTCTTGGCCTTCTATACTTAATATTCCTAAGTATTTTATTTTTCTTAAGTATGCTTAGTATTCTATGAATTAATATTTTTTTATTTCTTAAGTTGTTCTGCCTTGATTTAATATACATGTAATAGAAACTAATAATATGAATATACTAGTAAAATATATATCAACTATCTGGATAAAATTGTATGTTACTCCTATTTAATGGGAAATTGCAAGGATAATTTTAGATATTGTTTTAGTACATATCTATATATTATTTTTTATTATTGTTGATTTGTTGTTATTGTTGTTGTTGTTGTTATTAAATAACAATTTCAAAATATGTGTTAAGAAAAATAGAAATAAAGCATATATATGTAATCCAAAATAAATAAATAAAAAAGAATTAAATTTTATTTGACTGATTTTGATATTTATAAAAAACAATGAACTAATATGGATATTTCTCAAATTCTTCATATTTTTAATTTATTCATCAAAAAGTTTATTTTGCATTGTCATCATCGCATTTTATATGTCTACATTCAAAACAAATACATATATATACATATTCTGTTATTTTTAAAAAACATATTTGTGATAAAAACAAAAAAAAATTCTATATGAAATAAAATCAAGCAATTTATACAAAAGTCTTCTTCTCTGTCAAGCTCTTTTATTAGATCTTACTACCCAGTGCACATTTTTTTCCAACCAAAAAAAAAAAAGTGCATGAGGTAAAAAAATTAAAAATGATAAAAATAAATAAGGAATAAAAGTATTATAATAGTGTTATAAATGATAATGAATGAAATTGTAATCAGATGCTTTTATTCTTCATAAAAATTAAGCATCTATTCATCTTCCTTTGGTTTAATTCATTCATTATATATATAATGAAAGCTAAAAATAGTAAAATAGAATATTAAGAAGAGAAATGGAAATAGAAGAGAAGAAGATGAAAAGATAAAAAGGTAAAAGTAATATTATTAATATGTATATTTATTACATTTAAATGTAAAAATACTATATTTTCTTTTTAACTTTTAACAAAATATATTTTTTATAATTAAAATAAAAATGACAAAATTTAGTGCCTAATTAATACTTGAGTGCAGCATTTTATATAATATATAGATAGATAGATATAGATAGATGAATATAGATATAGATATAGATATAGAATAGACAATTAATCTAAGGAATTTTTGCCTTTTGATTTTCCTTTTTTATATATAAATTTTATTAGTTGTTAGTCTAATAATCAAATAATTTTTACCTTATACTTTTTTTTTTTCATTTTCCTTAGTTATTTTTAATACTTATTTAATCAAATTCATAAT